ATGGTTGTGAGCCACCATGTGGTTGCCGGGAATTGAACTCAGGACCTTTGGAAGAACAGGCAATGCTCTTAACCACTGAGCCATCTCTCCAGCCTGAGATAATATATTTTTAATGTTAAAAAGAAAGTCTGGTCACTTAGAATGAGGGAAATTGGAGATCACCTCTGCAGAACTGTGGATAGATATCAGTCAAACTGTCTTTGACACATATTACTGTAAGATGTGACATGCTTAAAACAGCGTGCTCTGAGCACAAGACAGGAATATGGCTGCTTTGTGATCCGTTTTGCTCATGATTCTGTTAGGATTGACATCAGAGGTGTGCCATGGCTATGCTGACACTCACTCCGCTTGTAATTTTCCTCAAAGGATGCAAGCGCTCCGCCAACTATATCTGGAACGCGTGGCACTAGAGATCTCCTGCACGTCGTTTGGTTCACATGTACGGAGATTGTTGTATGTGTACCTTCACAAGTATGGAACACATATTGTCAACAGAGAAGTGCAGACGCCACTGGAAGCCAAGAGCTAAAACGGGGACTAGGCAGGCGTGTAGAAGTTGTGTCCTTTGTTTCCTGACTGCCGCTTTCTAGACTGGGGTTGTGGTTACAAGGGACATACTTTTATTTATGAAGCAGTCACGGTAGAGTGTCAGTCACAAAAAAAAAAAAAAAAAAGAAAGAAAAGAAAAGAAAAAGGAAGAGAATGACACATGGTCCAGATCTAGTAATCCGTACTCAAGATGTGCAATCCAAAGAGCTGAAAGGAGAAACCTAAGCAGACATGGGTACAACACTGCTAAGGTAGAGTTACCTTAGCGCGCGCACACACACACACACACACACACACACACACACACACACACACACACACACAGAGTCTTGTTCACTTATGTTGCCATCATAAAATACCCTGACCAAGAGTAATTGAGAAGAGAAAGGGACTTATGGGGCTTACAACTTTAAATCATCGTCGAGTGAGGTCAAAGCAGGACTCACGGAAGGAACTTGAAGGTAGGCCTGCTTGCTGTTCCACACAACACTGCCATCTACCAAGGAACTCACTTCACAGGCAAGGAAGTAGAGCATGAACATAGAGGATGCTGTTTGCTGGCTGGCAGGCAGGCAGGCAGGTGGACAAGCGGGCTTATCATCAGTCAGCTTTCTTCTGCATGTCAGAGCCACTTGCCTGGGGAATGGTGGCGCCCACAAGGGGCAGGGGCTTTCTACAGCCATTAGAAATCAGGGCAATCCGCCACAAACATACCCACAGGCCAACAGATGTGGGCAATCTCAGAATCAAGAGCCTTTTCCCAGAAATTCCTAGGTTGTGTCAAATTGACAGTTAAAGCTAACCAGAACGGCGTATAATGGGATATGATTAACCCTGAAAAAGGGAGGAAATGTTGATGTATGCTATAACATGGGACAATTTGAAAACAGTAGTATAAGCGTGAGTCTACTTGTATGAGGTTCTTGAGTTGTCCAACTGATAGAGACAGAGTATTGGCTACCAGGAGCAAGGTAGAGGGAAGACGAGTGGATCCAGAGGTTCAGCTCGAGGTCATAAAAGCATTCTTGATATGGCTTTGTGTGGTGTGGGTGAAGGCATGGCAGGAATCCTGAGCCCTGGACTCCCGCTCTGACCCTATGCAAACAACGTGCTATTGACTCCTTCTCCTGAGAGGGAGAATAATTTGCCCTGGCTCAAGTTCAAAGAGAACCTTAATTTCAAAGCTCTAACCAGTTCTTTATGGTCCTAGGATAGAGGTCTGGGTATCGCGTCCCTTTTGTCTTGTGAAACACCATGTGACCTGTGACTGTAATGGTGTCTCCCTGGAGATATCTCTATGGGTGTGGGTGGCAGAAGAAAAAAATCCAAACCCCCCTGCTCCCGAGAATAGGACTTTCTCTTCTCTTTTTGAAGAAGCAATAATTTAAATCTTGCTCCATTCAAAGCCTGAGAAGATAAAATTTTGGAATGCTGGGACCAGATGCTGTTGATTATAATAAAATAGTCCCACACTAGCCCAGAATGGAGCATAATAAAGCTTTCTTTATTTGGGGGTATAATCACAGACCAGCAGTCCTCTACAGGAGTGGGGAACTGAATCCAGCTGCCAAGGGGCCACGCACGCTTTCACATCTATAAATCTAGTACATGTGACCATGCCCAAAGTGGGCCACTATCTTAAAGGCTCTTGGCTGAAGGAGTTCCCACAGTACCTCCCCCTTTTGTCTAAACAAAAGAGTTTTAAGCCTAATACAAAAGTACATACAATAAGAACAAATACTAAGTATAAAAATTAGATTTATAACCAGCATGAACAATATCAAGCAAGAAACATATGTTAAATGTTTTAATAGTTATTCTATCCTAAGTAGTTTAAGTCTTGTATTAGACATGGCTTGGCTAAGTCATGAGAGGAAAGCAACTATGATTATTTAGGCTTTAACCCCATCAAAGACCTGAGAAGGGAAATAATATTACTTGAAAAAACAGGAAGCACAATCAAGCAACTTTTAAAAGGTGTAACAAATGACAGAGACATCTGGCTACCTGGGCAATCACACAAAGTCTTATTTGTAGCATTGGAGCAAACAACTTGGCTAAGGCTTAAAGTAACTGACAGACCATTTTTAGAGGCAGGAGAAATTTTAAACTGTCTTACCCTGTCTTGGAAAGGTTTGGCAGTCTTTTTTTTTTTTTTGTATCTTGCTTGTCTAATCTGGACACCATGCATTTTGTCAGTGGTCAAGTCATGGGGAGTTCTTTGTCCAAGGGCCAGTTTTGCCAAGAAGAAAACAAACTCCTAATGGAGTATCTTTGGTGCCCAACATTTTCTTGGGAATAGATCAGTGCTATCAGGAGTAAATGTGTCTCACATCAACAGAATCCTGAGTTATTTAAATGCTGTATTTTACAGCTACAGTTTTTGAAGTGTTTGAAGAATTGCCTATGTGGAATACAATCTCTATGTATCTAAAGAACCTGATTAGTCTAAGTATGACAAACATGGGTGACTATTGACCTATAATTTTTAATACCTATAGCTTAAAGACTAAGGCTTTATGTTAAAATATTAAACAACTTTAAACAAATGTACAGCAAATGACCTCAAAATGTAAACAATTTATAAGTATCTATCAGAGGTAGAAGTGTATAGTGCAACAGAATAAATATACCCTAAAATTGTATTAATATACAAGATATCTTATGCAAAGATAGAAACATGCACACATATAATATGACAAAATAATTTTGCATAGGTGTAAAATATTTTAAACAGAAAAAGGAGCATATTCAACATAACAGATATAACTTGAATTTGTATCAATATACAAGAATTTATAATAATGTAAATTGTCTGTAAATAATAGCTCACAAGTATTCACTTTATTACTCACTATTAATATAAGTGTGAGTAAGCTTACACTAATCTACCTATTATTCCATCCAATTCCCTTTGAGTTCCCACAGCAACCAGACAGAAGAGTAAGGGAAGGGAGGGAGAGCCTTGGTAGGGCTTGAGAGACACCCAGGAAACGTGGCAGCAGGTTGATCTATGCGTTACTTGATGGGTGTCAAGTCTTCTGTAATTAAAGGTGGAGAATCTGTCTAGCAGCGATGCGTTCATTTCCAGATACAACTCTTCTGAAGCTGCGTTGTCTTCAGGCCAGGCTTCTACAGGAAAGGCTCTGTGCAAAGAGGAAAGGTGACGAAAGGTGACATCTCAGATTAGGAGAATGAGCACACAGGCAGAAGGCGGCCTGGAGCTGCCTGGTGCTGGAGTCAATGAGGACTTCAGGGTGACATTTTCTGAGTGGGAGCTAACTGCATGACTGTAAGAGACTGTCTAGGGAATAGCTCTAGAGTGGTGATGGGGCACAGGCATCCTGTGGTAGGTGAGCAGACAGACAGGTATTGGTTAATTCAAATTGCTCTTCAAGGAACAAGCGACTTTTAAAGGAAAGATATAACGGGTCTTTCTTTGTACTGCTAGTTCCCAAATAATGACACAGAGACTTCTTATTAATTATGAAAGTGTTGCTTTAGCTAAGGCTTGCTCCCAACTAGCTCTTAAAACTTAAATTAACCCATTTACATTAATCAATGTTCTGCCACATGACTGCCGACCTCTCCTCAGTACCATATGTACAACTTCCTCTACATTTGCTGGTGAATCTCCCACCTCGATTTTTCCCCCAGAGTTCCTCTCTCTGCCCTGAAGTCCCACCCATCCTCTCCTGCCTATCTATTGGCCGCTCAACTATTTATTAAACCAACCAGAAGATGCCCTAGGCGGGTGAGGTAAAACAGAGACACACCCTCCCACAGTTTACAAAAAGATTACCCCAACAGAAAGATAACTAGAATACATCAATGTGACAAAAATTCAATGAAACTTGTCAAAAAGCATTTCCCTCCCTGTTGCTAGAGTAATGGATATCCTATCTAAATACCTCGTACTCTCTGCAGTAGACCCCTCCCCTTCTAGCACTGAGGTTTTGTCCTTTTTCTGTTCGGCATTATAGCCAGACATATAAAATCCAGCTGTGCCTAAGAGAAAAGCCCAGATGATGATGGCTCAGATACACAAGGCCTTATGCACAGAAGAATTCTTGAGGCAGCTGGTCCAGAACAGATGTGAACTGCCAGGAGATCTCTAGTAGCTTTTGATATTTCTATTTTTCTACTATATAGTTTCTATTCTGATGCTTCTTCTTTCCTTTTGTGCGTATGTGCACATACTTGTGTGTGTGCTCGGATGAATATGTGAATATATGTATGTGTACATATGGGTATATGTGTGCATGTGTGTATACATGTGTATGTACACACATGTGGGCATCTGTGTGTGCTTGTGCGTATGTGTACATTGTATGTGTACATATGTGAATATGTATATGTGTGTGTATATTTGGGTATGTGTATATACACATACACGTGGGTGGGTCGGTGTGTACATATATATGTATATGTGTGTGTGTATATGCATGTGTTTGTATGTCTGTGCACGCATATGGAAGCCAGAGGTCAACAATGGTTGGTGCTCCTTAGGTGCAGTCTTTCTTGCTTTTTTAGATAGGGCCTCTTCTTTGCCTATTCAACACCTATTTGGCACCTATTTAACAATGTCAGCTGGCCAGCAAGCCCCAGGAATCTCCATATATCCACGCTTCTCCAATGCTAGGGCCATAAGTGCACCTGGATTTTTACAAGGATTCTGGGACTCAAACTCGGGTCCCCATGCTTGTGTGACAATTACCTAAGCAACTGAGCCATCTCTCCAACACTTCAAGCTTCTTTTTGAAGTTTACCTCATGACTTACAATGGTTAGCTTTAACTTTAAACTTAATTGGCACAGTCTAGAACCTGGGAAGGGAAGGGAAGAGAGACTTATTGAGGAACTAGGTAGATTGTTTTGGCCTGTGGGTGTGCTTATGGGGGATGGTCTTGATTGCTGATAAAGGAAGAGCCAGGACAGTGTGGGAGAACCATTAGCTGAGGGTCCCGAATGACATAAAAGCGAAGGAAGCTAGATGAGTAGCAAGCAGGCAGACAGCATGGGTGCTGTCTTAGAGCTTCTATTGCTGTGAAGAAACATCATGATCACAGGAACTCTTACAAAGGAAAACGTTTAATTGGGCTGGCTTACCTTTCAGAGATTTAGTCCATGGTCATCACGGTCGGGGGCATGGCAGTGCTCAGGTAGACATGGTGCTGGAGAGGTCGCTGAGAGTTCTACATCTGGATCTGCAGGTAGCAGGAAGAGACAGTGAGCCACTGAGCCTGGCTTGAGGTTCTGAAACCTAAAGCCCAACCCTAGTGACACACTTCCTCCAACAAAGCCACACCCACTCAACAAGGCCACACCTCCTATTAGCGCCACGCCCTATGAGCCTATGGGGCCATTTTTATTCAAACCACCACAGTTGGATTTGTGTCTTTCTGCTCTTGACTTGTAGGCCGTGCCTTAAGCCCCTGCCTTGACTTCCCTGTGATGAAGGACTGTGATTTATGATTTTAAGCTAAATAGACCCCAGTCTCCCCCTAGTTGTCTCCCCGCCCCCCCCCCCATGTATTTCATCACACCAAAAGAAAAGAGATTGGACATAGCTCAGTACAACTAGAGGCTTCAATGAAGAACTCAGGACCAGGTAAAGCTAGACGGGGTTAGCCACGTCAGCAGTGTTGCTGTAGCTCCTTTACTGCTTCCAGGGGCCAAGTCTAGAAAGGGCTAGAAGCTGCTGCTGATTGGCCCAGTCTCTGCATCCTTGCAGTTTTCATGTCCAGTTGCCACACGAATGCCCTATTCATCAGAGCTGACAGACACCTACTGGGTGACTGAGCTTATGTGTCACTATATGGAAGACCCCATGCTTGTCAGCTTTCTATCGCTATAACAAATACCAGAGACATCCGTTTAGGGAGAGAAATAGTCATACTTTGAATCGTAGGTTTGAAGGTGCTAGCCTGTGATTACCTGGTCCCGTTGCTTTTGGGGCCATGGTAGAGGAGAAGCATCAGTAGGGATATGAGGGGAGGAACTGCTTGTCTCATGGTAGGATTGGAAGGAGAGGAAAACACCAGATTCTATAATCTAAGGACGAGTGTCCCCAGTAACTCTGGAGACCTCACACTCAGCCCCAACTCTTAAAGGTTCCGCAACCTCCTTCCTAATAGCACCTCTCCGGGCAATAAGCCCTCAGCAATGCGACCCTGGGGAGTGTCCCAGATTGAAGCTGTCTTGAGGGAGCAGCTCTCCTCTGCATCTGTCACCTTCCTCCTTGCTGACAATGAGTTTCTCCTGGACACACACCGTCTTCCCCAGTCCGGCTTCTGCCAGAGGCCACCCAAATCCACCAGAGAAGTTTACTTCTGTTTGATACCCACTATCAGATGAACTCGTCTTACCGTGGCCTTGATTGCTCTTTGGTTACAATGAAAATCCAGGGGGAAATAGCTGTCCTGAAATAGTGTGCTGGCCTACCGAGCTCCCTAGAAGCGGTTACCCAAGTGAAGCATTGTTCCACCAAACAAAATATTTAGTTGAAAAAAACAATGTGGCTCCTGGGGCTGTCATGTGACTTGGATGGTGGGTGGAGTACCAATGTTCTGACCCACCTCTCAGAAGCCTGTTTAGAAGCACCAGCCTGCTTTACTTGCTAGGACTGACCCCAGGTTTGAGGGCCCCGTGGCTGGGTATAGTCACATCATCCAGGGCACTGATAGGTACACAGTGAGAGCTTTCGGACCTCCTTACCCCCCTGCTCAGCATCCTGTCTCTGTCCTGCCTCTGAAGAAACACCCTCTTGTCCAGTCCAGTCCCTCCAAAGCTACCAAGGCTGCTTTGGTCCCAGGTGCGAGGCAGGCGTCACACCCATGAGCTTCCATCTTCAGGAATAGATTCCCAGTCTCTGTGGCTGTCCTTAAACGCCATTTGCAAATGCTCCATTTCTCCTGCAGGGACCCCAGCGGTGTTCTAGTTCCTCGCCTCCCTTGATATTAGAGGAGGCCTTTGCTTTCTCAGGGCGGAAGCTGTTTGTGCTACTGCCGGGCGTAAATGTCCAGTCTGTGCGCGAGCTGCCGTGCTGCCTTACCCTCGCCGCAGTCGGTGTTGTTGAGAGGGAGACTCCATCCACCCAGGGCTCCGAGAGACGATAGCGGTCAGCTGAGCTCCAGCCAGCCTGCTGAAGTGTAGCCCGAGGGAAAGCAGCCTTGGCATGCAGGGCCACTAAGGACCGGGATCCTTTGCTCCTGCCACGGGATCACCCAACACGCCATGAAATCACACTCTGACAAGTTTGTAAGTAAATGCAGCTCCAGTCCACACAGTCATTCCTGGGATTGGGATCGGAGGAGACTGGGGCTTTACTTACCCTGTGCATCTCAGCAGAGCAATAGCTGCCGGGTCATCTCAATATGCGGGAGACATGGCCATGCTTTTCTGGGATGTTTTCCCACGTGCCAGTTTCTGGTTTTCACTGCACTGGCTGTCCTCGGTGTGTTAGTCTTCTCTCTGTAAGCACCTAGAAGGGAGAAATTATAGATATGTAAATATATATACATACACACATATATGTATATTCACACATATAATTTTATACATAATACATATATGTGTACATATATGTATATACATATATAATTACATATATAATCACACATGTATGCATATGCACACAATCACCCCATGAGTTTTTAATTAAGTTTCTTAGCCTGTCTATGCCTCGCTTTCTTCGCCTATAAAATGAAAATAATGATAGCACTTAGCTCAAGGTTGATGTGAGAATTTGACAGAACTGCAAACACCAAAGCATTGCCATCTAAATACTGGTTAAAGTGTGGTTAGGACGATGCCAGTAACACGAAACACACCTGCATGCGCTAGTCATATTGATTGGTGCCGTTTCTGTCTTTCCCTGGGCATTAGTCCTTTGCTCATGGATGATGTATGTGTGGTATGCTTTGAAATATTTAGCTGGTGGCTTTCCAGGGGGGAAATTCTTGAGTTGTGGTGTTTGCCGATGATTGTGGCGTAAAGATCGCCATTGTGGCCGATTTCAGGCTACCTCCAGCATGATACCACTGCAGGAGGAAGCCGGAAGCAGGCGCAGTAACTCATCCTGCCCTTTAGATATGTGGACTGATGGAACTTCAAGCACCTACCTGAGGTAGTGAAATAATTAGTGCTTGGTGAATTTCAGCAGTCTTTAAAAACATATATAAACATATATCTTAGAATTTATCTTATTATAAGTTTTTGTTCCTTAGGAAATTTATTTGGTTTTGATTTTTTTTTTTTTTTGGTCTCACCCATTAGGTCAGGCTGGCCTAGAGTTGACTTATTGTAGCCCAGTTGAATTCATGACCCTCGTGCCTCAGCTTCCTGCATGCTGGCATCACAGGTGTGACTATCATATTCCGTTTTAACTTAATCTTTAGTAAATGCCATGTTTAACAACTGACTTACAAAATAGCAGCATGACGAGGCTTCAACACACTATTAAATATGTCCACCCTCCCAATCCCAATGCAGCCAATACCAGACCTCAGAAGCCAGTCTCTGAGTCCCCCACACAGAGTCTCAAGCAGCTCCTGCCAATCTCTTGCAGCGGGCAATCTAGTTTAATAGTGTAATTATCTCTACCTGGCTTCCCACATGAAATACGTTATAAAAATTTGAGCCGCAAAAATTCATACAGCGAGCTCTCTTAATTTTATTTTTGAAGTTATTTGACAACCATTCATTCACCTTAATTTATGATTCCCAGGTTCCACCGAATCACCACCATCCTGCACACTCAAGTGATCTGACAAAGAAAGCAGAGAGGCAGATGGGCGTGGAGGCATTCTCTTATGATCCCAGCCCTGGAGAGAGAGAAGCAAGAGGATCACAAGTTTGAGGGCAGTCTGGGCTGCATAGAAAGATTTTATTTCAAGAAGAAATAATAATAATAATAGTAGAAAGACAGTCCAACAAAAGTGGAACTTTAACACAATCAAATATCCATGAACATTAAATGTAACAGTTGCTGAAGTCAACATGGTTTTGACTTGGTAACCATTTTACGCTTATTATGTCCATTAGGAGATAAGTTTGGTTGGAACCCTGAATGATCGATGTGAGCTCACCACAGTCCCTGCTCTGGGCCTCAACAAAGCCATGGCTGTGACTATGAGAGAGAGAGACATTAGACAAACAACTCCAGCATTGCCGGTTCCAAGACGTGGTGGATGTCTGCACTCAACCAACAAAGGAAAACGAGAAGAGCTCAAGCTTTGGTGTTCTTAACTTCAGGCTGCAGATGACCTGGTGGAGAAGACCCAAACATGTTGGGACGTAACGTGGGCTCTTAGAGGAACTGGTATAGACTCAGAAACACTAATATGTATGTGAAAACTACGTTCAAAGCTAGTAACTCAAGAGCTGAGGAAGACTCCCTAGAGGTCACCCACAGTCAAAGACAGTTGGGAGGAAAAAAAGTGACTCTGCCCACAGAGATGGGGATTACCATTTCTTTAACCCAAAAGCAAAACCCATACACCTAAACAATTTCTAAGCAAACTCAAGATTCTCTCCCAATAATGTCATAGAATGCACATTATGAGAATCAGATTCTCACAGGAACAAGTGTGCACAAATGATTGTGGATACCCCTGGCCAAGTGCCCTGCAGGAGTGTGCCTGGGCCAAACTGCCCCCAGAACCCCTACCAACAGTGGTAAATTAGAGTTATAATAGAGACCCTTCTAGTTACTCTAATCTTAAATAAATGGCACTGATGTAATGAAAACACAATGAAGTCATCCTAGTGTGGTGTGAAGGATCTCACACTGCATTGTGCTCAAGACCATGACAGTTTGCCCAACAGCCCACTAGATGGTGCTGTTTATCCACACAGCTGGAGAAACCACAGTTAGCAGAACTAGATTGCTAATTTGGTCGTGTTTTAGTGTGATAGTCTGAATTCCTGTGTGGCATCAGAGCACAGTTCTATCATCTCATCTGTCTTTGGCAGACATCTCTCTTTGTCTCTGTCTCTTCCAGCCACTCTCATGCTCTCTCTCTCCTCTCTCTCTCTCTCTCTCTCTCTCTCTGTATGTCACCACACACACATACAATCTCTCAAGTGTAGCTTCTTTTTAAAATTGTTTTTATTGAGCTATATATTTTTCTCTATCCCCTCCCTTCATCCCCCCTTCCCTTCTACTCTCTCCCATGGTCTCCCAATTTACTCGGGAGATCTTGTCTTTTTCTACTTCCCATGTAGATTAGATCCATGTATGTCTCTCTTAGGGTCTTCTTTGTTGTCTAGGTTCTCTGGGGTTGTGATTTGTGGGCTGTATTTTCTTTGTTTTATGTCTAAAAGCCACTTATGAGTGAGTACTTATGATATTTGTCTTTCTGGGTCTGGGTTAGCTCACTCAAAATGGTGTTTTCACATTTTGAAATTTGCCTTCAAATTTCAAGATGTCATTATTTTTTTTTCCTCTGTGTAGCACTCCATTGTATAAATGTACCACATTTTCTTTATCCATTCTTCGGTCCAGGGGCAACTCAAGAAACTGGTCATCAAAAGAACAAATAATCCAATAAAAAATGGGGAACAGACTTAAACAGAGAACTCTCAATAGATGAATCTAAAATAGCTGAAATACACTTAAGGAAATGCTCAACATCTTTAGCCATCAGAGAAATGCAAATGAAAACAACCCTGAAATTCCAGCTTACACCTGTCAAAATGGCCAAGATCAAAAACGCTGATGACAGCTTCTGCTGGAGAGGATGTGGGGTAAAGGGAACACTTCCGCATTGCTGGTGGGAGTGCAAACTAGTACAGCTTTGGAAATCAGTATGGCAATTTCTTAGAAAATTGGGAAGCAAACTTCCTCAAGACCCAGCAATTCCACTTTTGGGTATATACCCAAAGGATGCTCAATCATACGACAAGGACATGAACTCCAGTATGTTCATAGCAGCATTGTTTGTCATAGCCTGGAGTGTAGCTTCTATATCCCTTGCACGTTATCATTTAGAAGATGCTCATCCCCAAACCCCATGCCTTCCTTGCGTCCTTCTGAGGATTCTACAAGAGAAGTGGAGCTAAAGAAGCCTCCAGGCATCTCCACAGCAGGCTTCATTTCCTTCTGCTTCTCCTTTGATTTCCTCCCTTCTTCTTCATAGCCTTGTTATTGCCCTAACCCTATCAGAGCCCTGATCTCCATACCTTTTTACTCTGCTTCCCCTATGGTCAGATGCTGCCTGCTAACCTTGGCTTGTCCTCTGGAAGTATCTAACCTCTACCACATGGAAAAAGGTCTGTCTTCCTCTACCCTGGAGTGGCAATGAGCTGTCTCCTTTGATATCAACTGTCAACAGATGTACTTTCCTTGCTGGATTTAATGTGAGCTGGTTAAGAACATGGGCAAACAGCCTTGCAATTTGGTCACTGTCAACAAGAAGTCCAGAACCTGAAAGGCAGGATGAAAGCAAGATCAAGACTAGTGAATGGCCTTGTAGACTGCAGACTCGGAGATTGGACAGTGGAGGAGGAAGGCTGAAGGAATACACAGAACTGGAGACAACCTTGAACTTGAGATAGAAGTTCCCTAGCAGAGGGAGGAGCGAGCACAGCT